GAGCGAAACACATTCTGAAATCTCACACTTGTAAGCTGGACAAACCCATAGAAGTGCGTGGAGATAGCACAACACAACACCAGGCATCAGAAAAGTGCATTATCTCATTTTCGCCCGAAAGTGGAGTTCAGCACTCAGACGACTACATGTAGTTTAAATGCCTAACAGAAGTTCATAAATAATTAGAATGATCAAGTCAAGGAGGATGAGGTGGGCAGGGCATGTAGCACGAATTGGGGAGAAGAGGAATGCATATAGGACATTGATGGGAAAGCCAGAAGGAAAGAACCACTGGGAAGACCAAGGCGTAGGTGGGTGGACAATATTAAAATGGATCTTAGAGAGATATGATGGAATGGTATGGATTGGATTGATCTGGCTCAGGATAGGAACCAGTGGAGGGCTCTTGTTAACACGGTAAAGAACCTTCGGGTTCCATAAAATGCCGGGAAATTCTTGGAGTAGATACAGATTTGGCTTCTCCTCAAGAAGGGCGCAGCTCCGTAAGTAAGTAAGTAAGTAACAGAAGTTCATCATTAATTTTCCGGCACGCAGGCCCAATTATGCAAGCGCCGGCAAAAAGGAAAAAACACAGAGCTGTAGTTGAACCAGAGCTCTTTAGGGCGGCGACCCGGCGGTTCTTAGAACGTGAGGGGGGTGGGGGGGTGCTGCATTTCACTTATTTTAAAAGAAATTACGTTAAACATAGGTGGAAGTTAACAAGAAGTACAAGAAATCTGCTTCTAAACTACTTATCATTATAGGAGATTTGAATTTCACTCCTTATCATGAATATGGAGACAGAAGGTACAGAAGTACACGGCGTCATATATCCAGTTTCCCATACCCACTCTACACAGACTGACCTATCATGGTTCCTTTAAAAATACACTAAAGAGCCTTGACTTTGTCTGTTACAGGCGGACACACAGTAAACTCTCGAGATTCATGCGATGATCGTATTTAATCAATGAGCATAACCACTAGGCTAGGGGATGGACGACAGAGGAATCTGGGTTCGATTCATAGCAAAGGAAAGAGATGGTTGCCTTGTCCATAACTTTCAGATCGACTTTGGTTCTCATGCAGTCTCCGGTTCAACGAGCATCGCTCTTACCTGGAGGTAAGAGCGACTGGGGCGTGAAGCTGACCATTTACATCCATATCTCCATCTTATGTCGAGTTAAGAACGTGTGGATCTATACCTCTAATCATCCATACACTTTCATTGCGTGATGCTTAAGTAAGTACAGGGAGATTTCTGCCTGTCTGCCTGCCTACCTATCTATCCATCCCTCCCTGTTGCTCCCACTTGGAGCATAGGGCATCTTAGACAGTCGGTAGGACTCCTAGGACAGGGGATCAACCCGACGCAAGGCCGCTACCTACACAGGACAACATAAACACAGAATAAACGCAAACATCCATACCTTGAATGGGATTCGAACCCACGATCCCAGCCTCCGGGTGGGCGAAGCTATTTCATGCATTAGACCGCGCGGCCACTGTGATATTGATATTGACCTAGTTTCTGCAAAACGCTTCCCCAATGTTTTGTACCTCAAGCTGTGATTCAAATGTCAAGTAAACAGGGATCAATATAAGTTGCACTGGATGACAAGAATTTTAAAAGGGGAGACGTATTTTTGTAAAATGCTGTTCACAGAAATTTATATGAAAGAAACACGTATTTAAATGAACACAATGCCTTTTCTATATGTCTAGTTATTTACGGATGACATCAAAATATCTTGCGAAAAGAGCTGGAATATATCTGACGTCACTAAGACAAACAATGTAATAGGCTAATCAGAGCCTCCCGAACGTTCTGTGAACAATACGACTGATGCGCTTGCGTGACTGGCCGCCATTATACATGTCTCCAGGGCCCCCAGTGTAACGAAGCGGTCGCACAAAGCCCCGTGACTATCTCCAACCAGACCGCCTATTTAACAATCATAACAATTCCTTCTGTCACAAGAGGAAGCGTGGGTCCTACAGGTTGCTCGCAAAACATTACACATGAAAATCGATATGGAATTCAGTATCGGTATGAAATCATTTTACAAGTTAAGACTCTCATAAATTGTTCAAGTAAAAAATGTAAACTTGTCCCTGTGTTTAAGTAATTAAGCACAAGGCAATGAAGACGTGTGGTGGAATTGAGGTATAGCTCCACACTTTTTAACACCGGCACTAGTTGAAGCTGTAATTACGAGATATGGGTTTATCGACACGTTAAATTCATATTGATATTACATGATTCTTGCCTATATAATAGTGTAGGTGATCCCTTCGAAACATTATATTTATACCAGACTACACGATGTAACATCCCCCCCAAAAAGAGTGATGATCATTTTTGCCGCCGTGAGAACCACACATCTAACAAATATAAATTAATTTATGTAACCAAGAAATTATACGGTAAAGGCATATCGATATGTCAAATAAATATTGATATTCTCCTCGATACATCATTGGGTAGATCTATCGATTACCATTTCATATCCCTGTAATTGTTCTTCATCGAGTCTTGATAACTTCAGGCGTACTCTTCAACATTTTTGGAAGTTAACATGAAAATTTCCATTTCTAATGTAAACCTCACCGGTCACGGTAGCCGAGCGGTCTAAGGCATGTACTGTCTTCGATCGCTCGGAAGCCGGGATCGTGGGTTCGAATCCCACTCAGGGCATGGATGTTTGTGTGCGTTTTTCTGTGTTTGTGTACAGGTAGAGGCCTTGCGACGAGCTGATCACCCGCCCAAGGAGTCCTACCGAATGCGTAAGATCTAGTAAAACCGAAGTGAACAGAGAAGTTCATGGAGGTAGGCCTAGGCCCACTGGGGCTGTAGTGCCAAGGGGGAAAAAAATGTAAACCTCACTTCGTGTGGCGCAACCTATTTTAAAACACAATGAATTCCCGCAGATCGAGTCTTGGCGGTATATCCGTTACTTGTGCTATCTTTAGCAATAATTTCAGATACAGCATTTTTATAGCTCGAGTCAGCATCGATCTTTTCGCTACGAAACTCCAGTATTTATAAGACACTGCCCACAAGCTATTAATCACGTCCCTTTATGTTCAACGAGAACAAAATAGGATAAATCGATCCAACGTTATGTTTCAGTAGTAAGAAAACTAACATTGCATTCCTGTGTTCATGGGTTTGAACTTCGGCTATTCTGTTGAAGCATTTCTTGGTTTTCCAAGGTAATCTCAGGACTACGTTGGGGTAGTATCTTAATGCTTCCAAACTCAAAGCGATGTAATTCTTGAAGATTACAGTCTTCTGGGTTGCAACGCCGTATAGTTCGGAGACAGCCCGACGTTTCGGAGGAACATACCACCATCTTCAGCGTCGAAGAGTAAGCCCAGCGAGAAACCGGCAGGAGCAAGAGGCATAGCTTGCAGCGGGAGCTGACCTGCACTTCCCATGACATCAAGATAGAACAGAGACGCCGAAAAGGTGGGCATTCCAGTTAGGGAGGAACTGCGTCTTGCTGTCACAACGACAAAAAATTGAAAATAAGTGCGGAGAAGGAATGATTCATTCGGTCGGAAAGTTTGTACGAAAATGGTGCCGCAGAACCTCAATAATCACAAATTTCAGCGGGGAGGGTTTTCTGGGGGGGCATTGATTGTGGTCGGGTAAATTGCTGCTGGCCCTCGCCAGCATAGTCATTCTTGCTTCCGAATCATACGGGATTCAAGACCACAGTTTTCTATCTCACGACTCTGGGAGTCTTGCCACAGTGAGAATGAACGTGCTGGCGAGGACCACCAGCAATCTACCTGACCAAATAACCATCGATGCCCCCTCTCCCAAAAGAAATACCCCACTTACTTACCACATCTCGCTCTGTCTGACGTTTTTCTCTCCCCTACCATGAAGAATCATCTCAGGAGATCACGTTTTTGGAATCGTGGAAGAGATTCTGAAGGCCACGAAGCCCATTCTGAACAACCAGCAGGAGACTGACTTCTGGAAGAGCTTTCACATTTGGAAACAACGCTGAAATTCATGTACAGTTACAGGAGAGGCCTGTTCTGAAGGATACCACCACAGCTCAGAACAAAATCTAATGCAGTGTCCGTGAATATATTCTCGTTACTAAACTGCCAACTCTCACAATTAGCTAACTCCACGGAACTGACAGCTTCACGAGAAGCCACCAGTTCCTCAGCTATTCAAGAATTTCGCAACATTTTGTGGAACCCGAAGGTTCACTACCGTGTTCACAAGAGTCCTCCACTGCTCCCTATCCTGAGCCAGATCAATCCATTCTATACAACCCCGGCCTATAACTCTAAGATCCGTTTTATTGTTGTGACAGATTGGGCCGTTTTTAGGAAACGAATAGGTAAACACGTTCCAAAGCGTAAAGAATAAAGTCCATTGCTACGCAACGGTTCTATGGTTCACTGCTTCACTGTTGAAAATGGATAACCGCAGCAACAAATTGTAGGTTACATAGTAACGACTTCTTAAAAGAGAGATACGCGAAGTGACACCCTTCGAGGCGTTGTCTACTTTCAAGGCTGCCTAATAATTTTAACCAGTCTTTATGTGGTGTAGTTGCACTAACTTTTAGAGTGATATTATTGTTCGTAGTTACGAAGTGTTATATTTCCACCTGGTGAATATCCGAATATCCAAAAAATCTATTTGCTAATTCAAACCCGCGTGTAAAGTCACTAATACACGTGACAATATTCTTCCTCCTACCTACGTCTAGGTCTCCCCAGTGCGCTCATCTTCGCCAAAATTCGTGCTACATGCCCAGCCCATCTCACCTTTGACTTGATTGTTCTAATTATGAAGCTCCTCATTATGCAGTTTTTTTCCCAACACTTTCCAAACGTGTCAAGGAGTCACAGTGCAACACAAACTAATAACAAATTTCTCTACGCATGGACACTCTAATTGCAAGACAGTGCTATGTCCATAAGCGCTACAAAGTGACAAACATTCGAAGCTGAGGCCGTTAACTTACTCTCTGGGACGGTCCAGGAGGTTGCCAGGAACCTAAATCAAAGTACGATCGCTTCCCGTGGAGTCATGTCCGATACTGTACACAGAATGACAGAAGCACATCGATCCAGTCTCTAATTACTTCTGCTCAGACTCAGCGGAGCAAGTCTCATTGGTCCGGAGGCGTGGCACGTCAAGCGGGTCCCGTACACTGCACGGGGCTTAAGCCGCCCGAACTCAAGAGACGTTTCTGAAGTAAAGTAATGCAGAATATTTTGGTTACTAATGGGAGTTGTATTCGTCGGAGAGGAAAATGGTTTATGTTTATGGGCATAAACAGGCGTACTTAGTAAATCAAAGTGATGTCACTCCGGCAACAGCAGGACGAGGCGCGTTATAGAGTCTGCTCGAAGGTGTTCTTTTCTCCTAAAACAGAATGTTATTTGTGACGATGGTACATGTTTCTGGACATTATCCATCCTCCTGTCTTTATTTAAAGAAATACAGTGTTTCGGAGACTGGATTCTGTCTCCGTCTTCATGTAAAACCTACTGAGTTGGGCCCAGTCGATAGAGCTACCTTCGGAGATATACTAGTTCTATCGATTGGGCCCAAATGAAGACGGAGACAGAATCCAGTCTCCGAAACGTTGCGTGTTTTAAATAAAAACAGGAGGATAGATAATGTCCAGAAGCACAATGACTGTAAGAATTTTATAACCTTGACGCGGGCGTATAAGATCGCTTATAGTTTTCTCTATTTAATTTAAGCCCAATGATTTTATAATAGGTAGGCATACAGTAAAACCTCGGTAATCCAGATTAATTGGGAGGGAGAGTTCATTCGGATTAAGCGACAATCCGGATTTCTTAAGTAAAAGGTAGTCTTAAAAGAAGAAAAAACTCAGTACACACATAAATTTTAAATTTAATGATATAGGTAGTGATGACGAAAATAAATTACAAAATATCACTGTAAAAGTTATCCCTGTAACAGGCCGTGGAGACCCATAGGGCTGTGAGACGTCGAGGCTCCCACATTTTCTAGGCAATCGGCTCATAGATGACGGTGAGGCTGTCAGCCTTACGCGCCGGCCGCCCTTTACCCCCAGGAAGATTGCTGGTACTCATTTCTGTTCGAGGCTGAGTCGATCCCAGAATCATAGTGCGGGTGGTAGGATTAGGTTATCTAAACAAGAAGCATAGACGCACAATGAACCTTGACCTATGAATCGTATCTTAACTTCGAAACCCATCACGCGATTTGATTGAATTTGTGCAACTGCTCGCGTGTCCAGGGGCACGTGAAGCTATTTGAGGAGAAAGGTGAAGACTGCGAACTGGTAACGAAGCAGCTTACAGTTTCGATGGGTGGCAAATCTAAGCGTCTTCAAGTCTATTTTCGAGGTGAAAACGGCCAAAATTCGAAGTGTACATCGGCAGTGATTTCCTTCCAATTTTCCTCTAGCTGAAGCCGTAAAAAGGCAAAGGTATCCCTGTAACAGCCCGTGGAGGTCCATATAGCTGTGAGACGTCGAGGCTCCCACATTTTCTAGACAGTAGACTCACAGATGGCGGTGAGGTACTCAGCCTTACACGTCGGCCGCCATTTACCTCTCACGAAGATTCCTGGTACTCATTTCTGTTTGAGGCTGAGTCGACCCCAGGGCCATAGGGCGGTTGGAAGGATTAGATCAATTGAAAAATGCAATAATATCATCGGGAATCCAACCCGTGACCTATGGGCTAGTAACATGGTGCCTCAACCAACTATGCTATCACATACCCCCATAGATGAAGCCGTAGTACATCAAATATGTAACGACTGCTTCCTTCCACATCCCTTTCAATTCATTAATTCCTAATCACCCCATAATTGGACATTATATAATCTCAGTAACTGAAAGCGTCGATAAATAAACCAAAAATAAAATAAATCCTCACTGAGAAAATTCGTTTCGGGGGGCGGGTAACACTTCGGGCTTGCATTCATTAGGTGATCGGTTTGAATCTCGACTTAATGATAGAGATTTTCGTAATTTTTCCTCAGTTCTTCCAGACGAGCGCAAGATTGTACATTGAAACAGGTCACGACCACTTCCTTCCCTCTAAATTTCCCATTCACATTTCATTAATCATCCCACAACTCGCTGCTATATACCTCAGCTATCGAAAGCATCGTTAAATAAACCACAGATACATAAATGGATATAAAATAAATTACTCTAAGTATTTAAATATGTAATTATCCTTGGACCTTCCGTAATCAGGTCTGGGGGCCTTATATGGCCTTCGAAATTATTTCGGAACAGATTTAAGACAAATGTGAGAAAATCACGTGTAAGGCAGAAAATTACAGCACAAAGCTTATTTCGGGACTCTTTCATGTTCTACAGCTACCGGGGTCGGTAGTCAGTACGGCAGTCGACTGACCACATTGATTTCTTTCGAGGTTTTCCTCAATAAATACAAATTAAAATAGGCAATGTCTGTGAAGAGTACAACATTCTGTGATATAAAGCCATGGAATCAGTTGAAAGTCAACTGACGTTTCGGAGGAACATGTTGCTTCTATCTTCAGTGTCGAAGAAGAAACCAAAGTTAAAGGTGGCAAGCAGAGTTCTACTGATGGCTGAAGATGGAGGCCATATGTTGTTCCGAAACGTCGATTGCTTTTCAACGGACTACACGGCCTTATCTCCCAGAAGATAGTACTCTTCATAACCACCGCTGTAAGAACCTCAAATTCTGTATGGGGAATGGTTGCTTTCTCCCACGAAATCTCAAATCCATTATCGTACCAGTAAAGTGGAGACAGAAAGTCTCCCCGAAAGGTGTTACTGCGAGGTTGGATAAGTGTCGACTTCCTAAGCCTCGTAGAAATAATCCCTATACATGAAAAGCGTCATTTATAGTTCTTTTGTATGGACATGAAACATGGTTTCTTCGTTTAAGACAAGGATGTATATAAATTAGAATCGTTTTAAAATAAAATATCTAGAATAATCTGTACCTAAGATGGATGAAGCAAGTGGATAGTCAATTGATAGATTGTGACTATAGACGGGGTTTGGACTGATGACCGGATTTATTGGACTCTTTGACAGAGCGCGTGATTACAGTTCATTATTACACACACTGGTTTTCACAGTCTTGTCATCACTGTTGTTGCTTGGCAGTGGATTCCAATGGCGGACGTTCCCCTTCCTCTAGGTTTCCGACCTGTCTCTGACTTCAGCTGCCAGTTTCTAACAACAGCTCGCAACGATTGAATGCCAGCAGTCCTCTGACTACAACTACCAACTGGTCCTGCTTATAACATCACTGGACGGACCGCGTAGAAAACGGCTCTTCCGCTACTTCTGCATTCTCTTGCTGCCGTGGAAACATGCTTGTTTGTGGAGCCGTTACTTAGCAGTGGTTGTTGTATAGTTTCTTACTTCTAGATTGTTGCCTAGCAACGGGTTTACTTGCTTTAATATTTACACAATGGTTAACTTTTTTATTTATGCAAGTCATGTAGCATTGTTGTGAAACCCAGAAGGCTTATATAGGCTAGTTAGCAAGAATTTTTTCTTTTCCACAACGTCTAGACCGGTTCTGGAGCCAACCCAGCCCCCTATCCGATGGGTACCGGGCGCTCTTTCTCCGGGGGGCAAAGTGGCTTACCTCCAACTAATGCTGAGGTCAAGGAAACGTGGATCTATACATCCACTCGCCCATACGCCTTCATGGTGCAGTGCTCAATTATTTAGGCACAGGGTCGATTTTTTTATCTTAGATAGGCTGGGAATGTAGTTAGCATGGGGGAAAAATTCACAGAGACTTTTCATTGAAAAACATTGCAAAACGGTACTTAGAAGTCCGGAGATATGGGGGCTTATAGCGATCTCAGTGAAAATGGTTGTGTTGACGTGACGTATACGGAAATGGCATAACGTAGCATTTTGGTCGTTGGAGGGACTTTTTTATTAGTGGTGTTTAATTTTCGGGTTCTGCTATCAAACAGTCAGTTTGTTGCTGAGTTGTTAAGTAGTTCGACATCAGCATCAGTTCTATTCCATGGAACGTAAAACTTAAGTGCTACTCCATTAATATATCAGACATTAATGCCAACTTTCTGTTCGGGAGGCCTGAGTTCGTTCTAAACGACCGGTTACTGTAAATGGACTAAATTTTTCCTGAACTTCCTCGCAAATGTTACGAATGCTTTAACCCTTTAAAGACTGAATTTCTTCCAAATAATATATACAAATCCAGCTCGTACCTCATAGGAAACACATTACGTCTCCGCTACAGAGCCAAACCAGTTAATAAAGTTTAGGGAAACAGTCGCTGTTTACAGCGAGAATCGGACGGAACACAAACACACTGTGGGCAGAATGCATAGTTCTAGTATGTTATAGCATATGGTAAATATAGTAACCACTGGGTTTAAAGGTTTGAAATACTTGGCAACTAAGTGATCAAAATTTATAATTTACAACCACCTCAGCATGAAGCAACACTTTTAAAACAATGCTACAAAAGAGTGAGAAATATAAGCTATAGAAAAAAAACAGATTTGGTCGACTTAATGTACACGATACGGTTTCAGTACGTTAACACTAGCGGTGGTGATTCAAGTTTCCCTGGGTTCGACCCCAATTAAGGCAGTTTCAATTACGCTACTTCTCAGTTAACACCTCAGAACATACCTGATTGGCACTGAAGTTGTAGGACATGACTGCACCTCCGGAGTCTGACAGTTTTTTCAACAAGCGACGTTCCCGTGGTAACCACGCCTCCGTTACACCTAACGGCGACGCGCGGAACTATCGCTCACTACAACGCAAGATCTTCATCAGGCACCGGCAGGGGTCTGGTCAGGACACGGGCTACAGGTTTTAAATATTGATTTATGATTGATTTAGCAACGATATCGGAAACTCAGACAATATAACATCGAACCGTACGATAATTAGTGAATAATAAATTGGAAAGGATGTGAAAGGATGAGATTCTGCGTTAATTTGAAGTATAATTCTGGCTTTAGGCAAAGAACAAATTAAAAGCAAATAATTGATTGACGTGTATTTAGGATTTTGACCGTTCTCACTTCTAATCTGAGGATATTTCAAGTTCAGAGGTGCACCCATCAAAACTCTATTCTATCATGGCTCTACAGCCCCTTGTTGGGCCTTGCTTCAGTTTCATAATCTATAAACAGTCGGTAGGACTCCTTGGATGGGGGATCAGCCCGTCGCAAGGC